AGAGACAGTAGCCATTTTGGCTCAAGCCGTGAGTGGTTCAAGGTCCGGGCCCGTCTTTAGAGGATCTCAAACCAAGGTAGACCGGGGGACCCCCGAAAAGAGAGAGAAGGGGAATCTCCGTGAACTACCAGTCCGTAGACCTACGCTTGTACGAGCCGGGGGTTCTGCGCAGCGAGATAGTCGGGAACGCAGCACGAGGGGGACCGCAGCTGGTTGCCGAGCGGGGGACTTTGTGACCCGCTACCACATCGTGATCGGCGGCCTCCGTCGACGCCCTACCACACTGTGACGATCGGCATCAAAAGACAGTTCCTTTGCCCCTGCCGAACTGCCTGATGACGATGAGCAGTGGTTCGGCGAACGCAACGAACCGTGGAGATGGCAGCGGGGGGACAGGACCGCCGCAAACCAGCCCCAAGCGAGCTCGTGAGGACGGCCAGGCAATTGAAGAGGCAGACCGCGAAGCAGGAGCACCGCTGACACTCGCAGTTCTCCAACAAGCCCTCCAGGTGAACCAGCAGCAAATCACGAACAGCCTGCAGGAAAGCCTTGCGGGGATTGGCTACCGAGTTGCACAGGTCGAAGCCAACATGGGGGAACACGTAAAACGTACCACGGAATTGCTCGACGCCATGACGGACCGACACTGCCACATGGAGGAGTCCGTGAAGAAAGTCAACGCGGGGCACACAGAACTCATGAGACGCCTCGACAACCTGGAGGGGAGGTTTGCTACCGCTACTTTCTCTTCCTCCAGTACCCGTACCAGTGACGCAGGTGCAGCCGACAGTGCCCCCCGGCCAGCAGTGGTGGTAGGGGGATGGGACAACGACCAGAGCGCGGAGGACACACTGCAGGCAGGAAAACAGCACCTTCGTGATCTGCAGTGTGACCTCGACACGGACGATGCCTTCGTCCCTGGTCTGCGCCGTGGTTTCGCAATCATCCCCATCCAACCCCGAGACGGGGAACCAGTGGGGGACTTCCGCAAGCGAGTTCGCGAAGCACTGCAACGAGTTCGTGATGCAAAAGTTGTGACTGGAAGCCGACCACAAGGCGGGGACCGTTTCATGTGGGCCGCGATGAGCGAAAGCCCCGAAAGGCGAAAGAGGGCACAATTCGCGGGGAAAGTCAAACGTCTGGTGCTCGAAGAGGGCGGGGAAAGACGTCTCCTCGAAGTCGAGTTCGGGACTGGCAACATCTGGTATGCTCGAACTCGGGTGGCCTCCGCCGTACAAACAGCACCAGAAGATGCAGACAAAGCCGGCGCGGGGTGGCTGGCCCTCTCTACGTTAGCTCGAGTCCTGGGAACCTCTTTGAGTTCATTCACGACCAAGTGGGAAGAGCTCAAGAAAGCCTTGAACTGAACCGAAGCTGAGCAGTTTCACTCCACACCTATGGACGCCGGGGGTGGCAACTTGCACGTCTTTGCCTGGAATGTCGGGGGACTGACGCCTGAAGCAGCCCTTCAACTTCTTGGTGATTTTCGTAAAGAACGAATTTTGCCTTTCAACGATGCCTTCGCTATATGTCTCCAAGAGATCATTGTCGACGAGGGCAAGCACGAATTCGAGAAAGAGGACATCCAGTTGTTCGCCGGTAAACAGCGAGATGAATGGCGTGGGACTGCCATCGCATACACCAATTCTTTGCAGCTCAGCCGGGCTAAGCTCCTTAAGGCGGGGACCTGCTGCACACTCACGGCAGGCAAATTCGCTTTACGAGTCGTGTCCGGCCACCTGCCACACCATGCAACACTCCTGGAGACGGAGGAGATCCTCGCAACATGGCGGCCCCAACTCGAAGGCGAACATCGTTGTTTCGTGGGTATGGACGCCAACGAAACCTTCAAGCCAGGACGGGGGACAGCAGTGATCACAGACTCCGCCCGTGGGGAGCTACTCCTGGAAAACCTGGGGACAGTGGGGTTAAAGCTGCCCCCGCAAGACTTGGCTGCACCCTCGCACTTCCCCTACAACACCCAGATGCGACCCCGACGCCTCGACTATATCTTCACCAGACACTTACTTTCAGAAGTGGGCAGTGTGCTGGATTGCCGTGACCTTGCCCGCAGTGATCACGAACCCGTACATGTGCAATTGGTGTCTCCTGCTATACGGCCTCCGAACGAGTGGACCAAGACATGGGGGATCCGAAAACTCCGACCCCAGTCAGTCATTGAATCCCTCATCGCCAAGCACATCCCAGTTTCGGGGGACCCTGTGACCGCCATCGCCGACTTCGCTGTGAAGCTAACAAAGCCCGGCAAGCAGATTGACCAGTATAGAGGGAGCGGCGAGATCCGGGAACTACGACGACGGCTTCTACACACGCAGCCAGGACCTGAACGAAAACAATTGTGGAAAGCCCTCGCCAAACAGCGAAGGGCGGAACATCGAGCTTGGAGCCAAGCGAAGCTGCGAGTAGCCGGGGAAGGATTCTGGCAAAGCAAGAAGGCTGTGGACCAGGACAAACATGACACGGCTTGGGAACTCCGTCTTCGCGGACAAGACCGATGGCGAGAAACTCTCACTGAACACTTCGGGGGGATCTTCAACAAGCTTGACCCCTACCAAGTTGCCCATCGCATGCGGGGGATTTTGGCATGTATGACACAGCAGTGCAAACATCGACCGTGGCGGCCGTTTAGCATTGAAGAGATCAAAGCGGTGCGAAAACGGTGGAAGAACAACAAGTCCTGCGGGCCAGATAGCCTGTCGCACGAGGCCTTGAAAATCATGGAGAACGACGACTTTTGGCGCCACCAACTCCTCCGCCTTTTCGATGACATGCTGTACACTGCAAAAATCCCCGCTGCCATAGAGCGGGGAATCACCGTTCTACTGGCAAAGTGCACAGCGCCGGGGGACTGGAGCGACACTAGACCGATCACCCTAAGTTCGGCGCTGCTTAAAACCTTTTCGCAGCTGCTCATCGGCAGAGTCTCCGCCCTCGTGCAGGGGGACTCCCGCCTCCAATGGGCACGAAGGTCGCGCCAAGGTGTCAATCTCCGAGGCCGCACAACACAGGCCAACAACTGGAGAACCGCCACCAGAGAACGGGGGATGTTTCATGGACGACAGAAATCGATTGCCCTGCAGGTGCCGATTACCCTTTACTGGTTTTTGAGGTGTCCCAGCATAAGGGCGCGAGAAAGGTTCAGCTGAAGACTAGACTGCTTCCGATCTTGGTTCCTATGATCGGAGTGCATGGCAAGTGTTGGGTGGATGAGGCAGTCAAGGCTTTCCGTGATGCAGGCAGGAGCTTGCGAGACATTAAGGGCCCGCTGACCTTTGCACCTTCTGACGAGTCGGGGGCTGTGCCCTCCAGGAGATCGGTTACATCTGCAGAAGTAGGCCGTGCACTCCGGGCATTCCTAGGAGTGCCCGAGGAGGCAGTGGACCCCGCGGCACCGAGGATCACTGCATATTCCTTGAGGGGGACTTGCTTAGGTTGGGGTGGCAAGTTCGGCTTCGACGAGGACTTGAAGAGTGTCTTGGGCAGACACTCGTCTTCGATCAGGACGACGCAGGCCATTTACAGCCGTGAGCTGTGTGCAGCTCCTGCAAGGCGATTGCAAGACATGATCCGTGAGATAGCCGAGGGCCGGTTCTTTCCAGACAACAGTCGCTCGAGTTATTTCCCAAGCTTGCCAAAGCCGAGGCCAGCAGAAGGTTCGAGTTCAGCCGGAGAAGGAAGCGGAAAGCCTGCTGAGGTTAAGGCCGAGGTGGTCAGTAGCGACGAGTCTGACCAAGGCCAGGAGGACTCGTCGGAGAGCGATTCCTCTAGGTCTTCCTCCACGTCGTCGGCTGGGGATGATGCCCCGCCGGTGGTCAAAACGTGGAGGCGAGCCAAGGTGGAAGATGCGGATCAGGTGTGGTACATCCACACTGTCAGTGGAGTCTTGCATCTGCTCGCGAGTTCGGAAGATGTGCCGATGCTGCTCGCATGTGGGCGACCTGTGACCTCGAATTATAGGAAAGCTTCGGAGGCCGAAGTGTGCAGAGGTGTGGAGTGCCGAACTTGTCGGCGAAATGTTTGAGAGGTGTGCGAAGCGCACACCTGACTTCGCATCGAGGGTATGCGAACCGACAAAATGAAGGTCGGAGAGCGAAGTGCTCGGAGTGTATGTGCTCAGAGTGTGTTGCCGAGTTTTGCACTTGCAGTTTTCGGTTGTCAGTTTGAGTGAGCTTCGCGAGTGACTGCTGCTAGGGCTCAACATGTCGTCTTTGGTAGAGAGCACCCATCATTTCAAGTCGCGATGTACCGAGGTGGGCCTTAGCCGGGAAACTCTTCGGGCTTTCGCCGACCATGGCATCGATACGCTGAGCAAGCTCGCTTACTCGTGCGGGCAACCTGGCTCTCCTCTCCCTCAGACAGAGTTTGATGATTTCGTTGCAAACTTGATCCCTTCCGCCCTTTTGAGGGAGAAGGGTAGTGTCAAGCGCCTCCTTTTTGAAAGCCAAGCATTGCTGCTGAATGATCTGAGAGAGCAGGTTACCCAGCCTGATAAGTGGTCTACGAAGGATGTTCCTACGGTGGAGCGACAGAAGCGAATGGAAGCTGTCAAGGCCAGCATACCGGGAGTGGTCGTTGAAGGACCACTTGAGCCTTCACACGGCTTGTTGAATGCAGCCTGCAGGATGGAGAGAGAGGGGCAGCTGCGCTACATTGCCCCAGAGCAGTGTGGTACTAGAATGTATGAGATTCAGAACGTAAAGGCCCAGAGCAAAGTCCTTTCTCTTGAGGAAGGAAAGCTTGCTATCTCCGAGGAGAAGGGGTTACCAGAGGTTGCATGTGGCTCGGCATTATTGCTTCAGGAGGCCCTGAAGAGGAGAGGGGTCGCTTTGCAATTCGCTGGAGTGGCTTCTTTTCTGGCGCATGAGAAGTACATACAGAAGTTGTTCGCCCACATGGGGCGAGAGCCCCCGCCGGGGCATGCTCGTACGAGTGTGCATCAATTGCTGACTGCAGACAAGCATGTGTGGACTAAGATGATTGAGGATGAGGTTTCAGCTAAGCGAGGCCCCGACGGTCGGTACCCGGTTGACGATGCCCTGCTGCCTGCATTGCAGTCGTATGATGTCACAGTGTGTTTGCTGCCTCGCGAAGCAGCTCGTGAGAACAAGAAGCGTCCACCCCCGAAGAAGTTTGCCCAAGATCGTGACCCGAAAATCCCGAAAAGCGACCCCAGCAAAGGTAAAGGTAAACACAAGCGTGCAACCTGGCAGCCCAGTGTGCCTGAGGCGATCCGCAAGCTGGGTGGCCATGCCCAGACTCCGGATAAGAAGCGCATTTGTTTCTCCAGAAACTTGCCGTGTGGGTGCACCCTTGATCCGTGCCCTAAAGGGTTGCATGTGTGTGCTTTGTGCTTCTCCCCGGACCATGGCCTTCAGGAGTGTCCCAAAAGGGCGAAGTGAGATGGGCCCCACACCGGGGCACCCTCCACTACAACCGATGACAGTGTGGGCACCGCGGCGGAAGTCGCCGAGCCTTCGGCTGGAGGTTTTGATGTTCAAATGCCAGATGTGAATCGGCCGCCACTGCATGGGTCAAAATCCGTTGATGCAGTGCACCCGGCCGAGCAGTTTTGCTTGAATTGCTTGCATGCCCGTCCTCAGGACATTCTGCCACTGATTTCACTTTTGGAGAGTGAAACACTGAGCAGAGGCCAATCTGGCCCAAATACTTTTTCGTGGACTTCGGGTGCCTATGCCAAGGGCCCCCTGCGAGGTCTAAGAAAGCATACGAGTGCTTTCCCAGCCTGTACGCGCTTGCTTTGTCAGCTAGTGCTCCGAGTTTTCCCAGATGCAGATTTTTCCGCTGTGGCAATCTTTAAGAACCTTCGGACTTCTTTGCATGTTGACATAAACAACGAGGTGAACTCGTGTAATTACTTGATTCCGGTTACTAACTTCGAAGGGGGCGAAGTGTGGCAACAGGGTCCTGGTACACATGTCGTGCAGGACGAGCTTGGCTACAACCTCACAGGCTCAGTGTTGCGTGTTGCAGATGGGCCTTGTGTCTTGAACCCCAGGGTCACGCACTGCACCTTGCCTTGGACCGGGGATAGGGTTTTAGTTGTCGCCTTTAAGCCCGCGCATGCTTCCGACTTGTCGCTTGCCTTTCGCGAGCAGCTCATAGGGCTAGGCTTCCCGGCTAGATCGTTTGAGAAGGCGACCGCTGACCAACTTGGACCGGGGAGCCCCAATGTGCCACATGTCTTGAAGGAGGCTGACCAAAGCTTTACTCCGAACCCCAACGTGCAACCTGACGTGCCTATGCCTTGCGAAGTGGCAACCTTGAATGATTCTTCGAACTCCAACAGCCGTTCTGCTGAGCCCTCAGCTATCAAGCAGAATCCTCTTGATGCCGATGTTAGGTGGCATGATCCTTTGATCCTAGAGTTTTTCTCGGGGAACGGTCGTGTTACTGCCTGCATGAAGCAGCTGGGCCTGTCGGCCTTTTGGGGTTGATGTGAACCCTTCGACTTCAGTCACAACATGTTTGCCTGCCGATCTGTCCACAAGCAGTGGGCAGGCGCTTTGTCGAGATTGGTTTGTTTCTCCGAGGCTGGCTGGGATTTTTGCGACTCCTCCCAATAGTGGGGAAACAGCTGCTGCAGCAGTTGCCTTTTTGGGTGAGCTAGTTTTGGAGGCAATATCTCGCGGTGTCATCTGTGTGATAGGCGGGCATATGGATGCCGATTACTGGCAGACGCCTTCTTGGGCTAAAATTTCTTCCAACTTTACTTTCGTCTCATGCCATGACCGTGCTTACGATGGCGTGCATTTGAATGCAACGGTGTTTGCCACTTCAGATACAACTTTTGATAGGCTCGCGAGGTTCTGTCCGGGCCCCTCCTGCAAAGCCAGCCAATGCTGTCATAACACCGAGTCTGAGGCTGCAGTCTACCCTACACGCCTTGCCATGCAGGTTGCTTGTTGTTTTGCAGAAGCCTTCAAACTCAGGGGATGTTTCGATGCATTCGACCCTCGGCTTGAGGTCCCAATGTCGAGAGCGGTGGCAGGAGCCCAACCTCCTGCTAGCAAAATGCCTCCAATCGTGCCTGAACACAAGCGGGTGCTCGTTTTTCGCCATCCACCTGGTCTTGACTTGCCTTGTCAGCCAATGCAGCGTTTGAAAGCCGACTGGCAAGTGCCGGCTTCCTGCAGCCTAGGCCCGATAACTGTGCCTGCTAAAGCACAGCTCTTAAGACATGTTCCAATTGCTCAAGTTGGGGGTGAGTGTGAGGACCTTTTGAGAGTTGGGTCTTGGGAAATGGTCTGGGGGATTTTCTGGGAACCTGAGGAATTTATGAAAGAGGCGAACTCGGCAAATCATCCGAGGACCCTTGACTCAGTGGTGCCCCAGCCCCTCAAGGAAACTCTGGATGCTTTGGAAAACATGGACGATGCTGAAGTGACAGCCCTGCGTGCTAAGGTCATAAAAGAGTGGATGCACTTAGCAGTTTCCTTGTCTGCCGAAGAAGATGCTCTAAAGTCTTCGATGCATCAGGATGTGTACTCGATTACTAAGAGTAAGCGTATTCTTTTGTGGGAGGCTCTTTTAGAAAAATATTCTTACCCTGACCCGAAGGTTTCTGGCCTTCTAAGAGAGGGAGTCCCCCTCGTAGGTCATGCTCCGATCTCTGGAGTTTTTAAGCCAAAATTTAAGCCAATGCGGGGTACACCAAGCCAGGTTAGAGAGGATTTTCTTTTCTACCGCCAAAAGGTTCATAAGTCCTTAAAACCCCAGGATCCCGCCATAATGCAGGAAGTCGCTGCTAAGACACAAAAGGAGCTTGATGCCGGCTGGATCGCTGGCCCCCTGAGGGAGTCCGATCTGGATAAAGGGATTCTGGTGAGTAGGCGGTTCGGTTTGCAACAAGGCGCGAAAGTGCGCTGTATAGATAATCTAACTTCGTCGGGTGTTAACTTGGCGGTGCAAGCGTATGAGGCCCCTCAGCCTCAGTCCACCGACGTGGTGGCCTCGACTTGTCAGCGGCTTTTGAGACACATCGAAAAACAAGTTGGCAAGAGGACTTTTGTGCTCCTAGGTAAGGCGTTTGACCTTACCTCGGCTTACAGACAGATGCCAGTGCATCCAGATTCAGCATGGGCATCATACATTTGTTTTATTCATCCCGACTCCCAAGAGAGGGTTTACTTCAGGATGAGGGCTATGCCGTTCGGCAGCTCAATGGCTGTTTATTCCTTTTTGAGGATAAGTCATTCGCTTTGGTACATCGGGACCAAGGCTCTTTTGTTGCCTTGGTCGTCGTTCTTCGACGACTACATTACATTCGCTACTACAGGCCAGGCCAAGTCTGCTGAGCATTCGGTCACGGCCATGCTAAGGCTGCTGGGGTGGGCGTTCGCCGAATCGGGGGACAAATCTCACGGGTTTTCCCAGTGCTTTCAAGCTTTAGGCATTGTGGTGGATTTAAGTTCGGTTCTCCAAGGTACAGTTTACTTTCGGAACACCGAAAGGCGGGTTTCGGAAATCAAGTCTTTTATCGAAAAGGTTTTAGCTTCGGGTCAACTTCCTCACCACGAGGCGCTCAGACTGCGAGGCAGGTGCCAGTTCGCGGATTCCCAAGTTTTCGGACGTACAGGGAAAAAGTGCTTGAGCTTGATCACGGCTCGTGCCTTTGGCCTCAATGATTTTATAAGTCATGAGCTGAGGACCGAACTTCAGAGGTTCGCGCTGAGGCTGGAGACTGAGGCTCCACGATTGATCAAACTTGTTGAGGGCGGTGCCTGGAGAGTTTATACCGATGCGTCTTACGAGCCAGGAGCCGAATGCAGCTTCTGTGGACTTGGGGGTGTTTTGGTAGATCCAAAGGGTTCGCCTCAAAAGTTTTTCTCCTTCGTGTTGAGTGAATCGCAGAAAAGTTTTCTTGGAGAGAAAGTTTCTTCACAAATAATTTTTCCTGCCGAGATGCTTGCATTGGTGATCGCCATGGAGGTGTGGGCGGAGGACCTGCGTGGGTCTCCAACCATATTCTTTGTGGACAATAACGGTGTCCGTGATGCCGCCATTTCAGGCAATGTCAAATCCTCAGTTGCTCGGAGAATGCTGGAGACTCTTCTGCAGAAAGAATACGAATTGTCTTTAGTACCATGGTATGCATGCGTGCCGTCGCCGGCTAACCCAGCGGACGAACCGTCTCGGGTCGAGTGCGGTCGCTTGCACCTTATGGGAACTGAACTCCGAAAAGCAGAGGTTGCAAATCTTGTCGATGCATGTTTGAGGAAGGTGCAGGGGCTTAAGTAATGGTTTAAGTTGGGGTGAAAGTGTGAGCAGGGGCCCGAAAGGGGCCGCAACACCCTGCAAGTAGTTAGGAGTAGTCCGCGACTGCTGAGTGCCCGCAGGCACTTAGTAGTTTCGAAGACA